AGGGTTTAGGGCTGTTGTACATAGGGTCGCTATAAGTCTCAAACGACTCGACGGCACATGACAACAACAACAAGCAGAACACTGCTGAAGATCATTCAAAACCAGCTAGAACAGTACATAGGCAGAAAACTGCCAAAAGTTTAAACTTTGAAATTCAAAGATTTAGAAGAAGCTGTTGTACCAGAAATATCATTGCTGGTGTCATATGAATCCTGCCTGAAAGCGGAGAATGCCAGAAGAATGTTTATTTGTGCTTTATTGATTATATAAAGGCATTTTTTACTCTGTGGCTCATAACAAGTTATGGCTAACATTGAGAATGGGAATCCCAGAACACTTTATTGTGTTCATGTAAAACCAATATGTAGACCAAAGACTGTCATGCAAAGAGAGCAAGGGATATTACATGGTTTAAAATTAAGAAAGGTTTCTCTGGTGGCCTAGTGGCAAGAAGCTGCACTGCAATCCCAGAGGAACAGAGTTCGAATCCACCAGATGCTCTGCCGGAGAAGGAGGCGCAATATCCTCCTGTACCAGTCAGATCTGATTTGACGGTACACGCACACAAAAAAATAAAAAAAAAAAATTAAGAAAGGTTTGTGTCAGGGATGTATCTGTTCTCCATACCTATTCAATCTGCATGGTGAGCAAATTATTCAAGGAGCTGAACTCTATGAAGAAGAATGTGGCATCAAGTTAGAGGAATACTCATCAATAACCTGCATTATGCAGATGGTCATAACCTTGCATGCTGGAAATTGGAAAGACTTGAAGCACTTGTTCCAGAAGATGAGAGAACACAGCCTTCCAAGTTGATTGCATCTCAGTATTAAGATGAAAATTCTTACCACTGGACCTGTAGACAACATCGTGTTAGATGGAGAAAAGATTGAAGTTGCTTAAATGATTTTGTCTCTCTTGGATCCACAGTCAACACCATTGGTACCATCACTCAGGAAATCAGGAGACGTATTGTACTGGAAAAGTCTGTATTTAAAAACCTCTCCAAATTAGGAGAAATGATGTCAGTTTGGGGACTAAGGTACATCTGATTCAGGCCATGGTCTTTCCAGTTACTTGCTATGCATCTGAGAGCTGGACAGTTAATAAGAATTACAGAAGAATAATTGATGCCTGGTGTACTGAGTATCTCATGAACTGCCAAAAGAACAAACAAATATGTCTTGGGAAAAATATAGCCAGAGTGCTCCATAGAGGCAAAAATGGTAAAGCTTCGTCTCACATATTTCAGGCATGTTTCTAGCAGAGGCTATCCCTCAGAGGGGAATATCATGCTTGGAAAGGTCAGCGAGAGTGGGGAAGACCCTCAACCATGTATATTGACACAGTGCTACTATGGGCTCTAGTGCTTCAGGAAATAGGAGGGCATAAGATAGGACAGGGTTTAGAGCTGTTCATAGAGTCACTGTGGGGTGTATTCAACTTGATGGCACCTGACAACAACAGTGATGTCAGTTTGAGGAGTGAAGTATACCTGATTCAGGTCACGGTCATTTCAGTCACTTGGTTATGTATCTGAGTTCTGGACAATGTATAAAGATGAAAAAAAAAATTAGTAGTGTGGTGTTGGAGAAGAGTACTAATATCCCATGGGCTGCCAAAGGAACAGATATGACTTGGAGAAAACGCAGTCAGAGTGCTTGTTGGATGCAAAGAAGACAGAACTTCGTCTCACTTATTTTGGACATGTCGGTAGGAGAAGCTATTTCTTGGAGAGGGATATCATGAACGTTGAAGGGACGGAAGAGGAAGACCCTCACCAAGTGAGTTGACAAAAGGACTGCAGCTATAAGCTTGAATGTGTCAGAGACTGGTGAGGATGGTTACAGGATAGGACAGGGTTTAGATGTGTTCATAGGGTCGCTGTGAGTCATATTCAGTAGTTCCTAACAACAACATTCCCTTTGCAGCTTCACACTCCAGAACAAGTTAGATCCGATTCTTTAAAACTCACAGAGCCCCCCCTCTCTGTAAAACATCTTTCCTGTGCTACTTCCAGCAGTGCTGATTTCAGAGCACGTTGAGGGATAATCCTTTTCCTTTCTGGAAATAGATTAAGTTCCAATGGCCTCTTTCTTTCCTACTTGTTGGATTTCAAGAGGCAGACAGCCTTCTTTTCTTGGTTTCCTTCAGTCTGTCTAACCTGATAGGATTGCTGTTGTGGTGTATACTTAGATCTGTTAGTCATAATCTTAATTTCGTCTGTAAAAGGTTGTGGAAGCAGTATTAGAATTGGGTAATGGATAGAGGCTGCAAGAGCTTTAAAGTGCTTAATAGTAAAAGCCCAGGTAAGAAATTTGAGTCTTGAAGTTAATGAAGACTGTGCACTTTAGAAATTATTTGTGAATTAACATCCTATATTTTATAGAGCAGAGTACAAATGGTAGCTGACTTACACTGTATTTGAATTATGAGGAATTACAGTCTTCCCCCCTTAAGTATAATATGTACTGTTACAGTGTGTAATTTGCTAATAGTAATCATTTTCTGATATTCATAAATGTTGTTACGCTTTTATAAAGATACTGATAATAGAAACTAATAATAGTGAAAATGGACTTACTATAGAATCCTTGGAATGGAACTTTGCAACAAATTGGGAACTACTGATGTTAGAATATTTGAGAATATCTTCTTTTCTTTCAGTCTGTTATTTGAAAGTCAGTTTGAGGATTAAAGTGTTAAAATAATAAAGAGTGGGTGCTCTGGTGGCCTAGTGGCAAGAAGCTGCACTGCAATCCCAGAAATAACATGGTTTGAACCCACCAGATGTTCTGTTGGAGAAGGAAGGGCAATCTCCTCCTGTACCAGTCAGATCCCATTTGACGGTGTACACACACACAAAATAATAAAATAAAAAATTAAAAAAAAAAATAATTAAAGAGTGTACTCATGACTTTGACAGTCTTGTTGTAGAGGAAGAACAGAATTTATGCGCGCGCGCGCGCGCACACACACACGTATACCCTATAACTAAAATAAAATTTGTATAGTTTTTCTTTATTGTTGAAACTATTAAACCTGTCTCTAGCCATTATAGTATTTTTTAATAACAGTTGATTTAGTTCTGAAAATGTGTCTGCTTATTGAGAAAAGACTATCAAATCACTGAGAACTCCCTTCATTCTTACCAGCCTTTCATAGTGATCCTCAGTTAGGGTTAAAACCCTCAAAACTAAGTCCCTGCTCTCAAGTCTCTATATTCATTGTGACTATTTCCAATGCTGTAATCGTGTTTCCAAGGATATAAATCTTTACGGAAGGAGACTCTCCTGTTTTCTCCTTCATGAGGCAGCTGTTGAGTTTGAGCTGCTGCTGTCTTGCCTTTAACAGCTCACCAGGCTTCTTTCGGTTAGGATTGTTAGATTTCTTCTTTTGATTCTGTGACTTAGTCTGTGTGAGAGTTTTACTGCCTAGAAATTGGTTTTGATGAAAGGATCAAGTTGGTGGGCTGGGGGTTTTTTTATGCCATTTACAACTTAATTGTTAAGATTCTAAGTGTCCAGAAAAGTTCTATTTTACAAAGAAGCTAATTTGAATATGTTCTTTGTTTTAGGTGTAATTGAAAAGTGACCCTCCTTTCAGAGATGTCAAAAACAAATAAATCCAAGTCTGGATCTCGCTCTTCTCGTTCAAGATCTGGATCAAGATCTCGTTCTCGTTCATTTTCAAAGTCAAGATCCCGAAGTCGATCTGTATCTCGTTCAAGGAAGCGCAGACTAAGGTAATGGGGTGGCATGTTTGAGATAATAATATCTGTTTATTTGGATTTTTGGAGATCTTTTGTTAGATTGTTTTAAGTGTCAAACGGATTGGGAGTTGGTTTGAGGTGGAGGATTAGACTTTTAAGAGATTCCAAGTTTCTTCAAACAATACAAATGCATAATAATTTTAACGCTGTGCTTTTGCTTAATTACTTTTTTTTCTCTGCTAACACATTTTCTTTCCCATCCACTTTGGAATAAAGACCATTTATTTTTTATTTGAGCTGCTTGCTTCTGAACTGTTTGGAGGCTTGGACCAAAGTTTGTTTCCTTTAGTAAAGAAAAGCATTAGGATTATGATTAGCGTTGTTGTTGTTATGTGCCATCGAGTCTTTTGCGACTCATAGCGACCCTATGCACAACAGCCCTAAACCCTGCTCTATCCTGTGCCAACCACACTGCCTCCGACACACCCATCCTGATTACCCCAGTCACCGAGTCAATCCATCTCATAGAGGGTCTTCTTCTCCTCCTGTGCCGCCCCTCCACCCTCCAAGCATGATGTCCCTCTCCAAGGACCCGTCCCTCCTGGGGATGATTAGCATTACAAGGGAACAAAGCTTTTACCTGCTGAGAAGATACACCTAGAGTGTCAATTACTAGCAAGCTGCATCTCCTTTGTAAAAAAAAAAAACCAAAACAAACCACTTCTTGAAACGCTCTAAAAATTGTTTGTAGAATTCACTTTGTCTTATCTAAATACCATAATTGTTTTAAATTCTGTATGCTTCATGCTTTAGGTAAATTTCCCTATTTCAGTTTATGTCTTAGAATAGGATACCAAACTTCCAGCATCTCTCCTATTTTGGTGTGTTATAAGTTGGGTTTTTCATTCTTTCAAAAGAGTTTTCTGGCTAGGTAAGAACCTCTTCTTTTTATTTTTTTAATTATTTTATTATTTTTCTGTGTGTACCATCAAATCAGATCTGACTGGTACAGGAGGAGATTGTCCCTCCTTCTCCAGCAGAGTATCTGGTGGATTTGAACAGAACTTCTTAGTAGATACAAGTTTTCAAATTATTTTGGGAAATGTTGATTAATTTAAACCCTAAAGAGAGATATTTTTTGTACAATTTCACTTTTTTTATCAAAATAATATACTGCGTAAGATAATTCTGTTTGCCACTTAGCGGTCTTGATGTTTATTTCAGTTGAATATCTAGAACCTTTTTTTCTTAGGCAAACTCATTACAAAAATTTAAACCACAGAAACTTTTTAAGTTTTTCTTTTTTTATTTTAGTCTCTTAAGATGGCTAGTGGATTGTTGGGGGGTGTTTTTGCTTATTGGTTTGTTTGTTTCCTTTTGCCAACAAGAACGCATGCTTAAAGGGGATCTTGAGACTTCAATTTAAAAATTCATTTCAGGTCAGAGCTTGAACAGAAATTAGCTATATGTAAATACTGATGTAATACATAATGGATTCTAAAATTGGGGGGGTTTTAGAATGGAAAGTTTTAAACTTTGAATTTGTCTCTCAGGCAGGAAGACTGCATAATATGCATATGTGTGTATTTTAAAATAGATTTTTTTTTCCCTGAGGATAAGAAGCCGTTTGATTTCTTTTTCTCATGTTTTTTGGCATATATTTTCAGACTTTTTTAATTTCAGCCTTATGGTAAGCTATTGCATCAGATTCCTTTTAAGTAAAAGTCCATCCCACTTCCTTATTCCTCCAAAAAGAATGAGAAAAGCCTAGACTTTAGTAACTCCCTACTTTGTGCCTTGACTTGAGTATTTGAAGCCTAACCTGTGTTTTCGCTTCTGAAAGGCATCACTTTCTAACTTAACCTAATAAAATGAAAACAAAGCAATTGGTTCAGAAACAACCACAACTAAGAGACAAAGTTGAATGGACATAAACCAAATTGAAAATTATAATCAACTCTGAAATATTTGTGGCAACCCCAAAAACTGAAAAGATCTGTCTGAACAGATCTTTTTTCTCCTCGTTTTGCAGATCATTTGGCATGGTCATATAGACTTGGCATAGTAGGGAGAAATACCTTAGGCAGCCAGGATGTGCTGAGATGAACCTACAAGGCACTCATGTGCCGTCTTATACCTAGAAGATGGTCATTTTGGAGGTGGTTTGTTTCACCCTCCTACAAGGAAAGTGCGTTATTCAGATAGTTTGAGAAACCATGCCTTTAAATTAACTAACTGCAGGGTTGTACAGATTTGGAGAATATTGATTGTTTCCTTGTATTTCACAGACTGTATCCTCTTAAGTGACTTCTGGTAAATAACTTCATTTGCAATCTGCAGAGACTCACATTCCTGCATCTGTGCAATGACTGCTGGTTTTGGATGCAGTATGCCACAGAGCCCTCACTAGTAATTGCTAACAGAAGCAGCAGCAACCTTTGAGGATGGGAAAATGAAATTAAACCCTCCTTAGTGTTGGTGGTGGATCACCTCCTTCAAGTATAGCCTTTTAATCTGATCATATTCAATCTCATAGCCTGCATCTGCCTCTTTCTTCTTTTCTTAAATTGTTGTTACTGTATGCTGAATGAAAAAGTGTGAAAGGTAAGTAAGTTCTTTTTAATTGTACTTAAATAGAAACCTTTACAAGCAGCAGTAAGATGTAATAGTTGCTCTTGTTCTTGGGATAGATAACAAGTGTAAAGGCTAATAACAATAGTAGAAAATCCCACTTTATCTGAACTGGAATATAAAGTTTTTATTTTATAGACTTTATCGTTCACTTTACCTTTAAACTTTAAACAAGTTGCTTTGTTTAACCTAACTCACTTACTGAATGGGCTGAGAGTTTTTTTGGTTGGTTTTTTTATTTTATTTTTATTTTTACTAGTTTATTTACAAAATTTGAATACATTGTTTTCAAGAACAAAGTCTTTCAGTTCCCTTCATCCCCCCACCCAACAAAATTGTACAGTCTCATGATTAATGGCTCCCTTCCCCTGCACATCCTCATCCCTCTGCTTCCACCCTCTCCCACCCCTCTTGGATCCTTATACTCATTCTACAATAATGGTTTTATACCATATTTATCCTTGTGGGACCGAGTTAGTTCACTCAGCTTAATGCTCTTCAGTCCCTCCCAAGTTAGGTAATAATTTACAAAATCATTGCTCCTGTATGCTGCATAGTATTACATTGTGTGAATGTACCATAATTTCTCAATCCATTCTTTTGTAGTTGGACTGTTTCCATGTTTTTGCAGTGGTGAATAATGCTGCTATGAATTTTGGTCTTCAAGTCTCAGTTTGTGCCTCACTTCTCATTTTCTCAGGGTATATTCCAAGTAGTAGAACAGCTGGGTCATATGGAATTTCTTTGTTGAGCTTTTTGAGGAAGCACCAAACTGCCTTCCAGAATGGTTGTACTGAATGAGGCTTTTTAAAACAACAAAAGTGCCTTGATTCTTGCCCATTAATTGTTTGGGTTTTTTAAATTCTACATATAAACTATTAATGTAAAGAGTTTATAGGAAGTCTTTCTAACCAACTGCTAAAGAGTAGGGAGCTCTGGTGGCCTAGACGGGAAGTAATGCTGCAGATTGAAAGGCCCCTCCTTTCTGGTAGTTTGAATCTACCAGCGGCTCTGCAGGGGCAATCTCCAGTGTGATTTACAGTCTTAAGAGCCTTCTAGAGGCTCAGTTGTCAGTTGGTTCTGACTTAAAAATCAGAGGGAAAGATAATTAGGACTATGACTCATATGAGTGATAGTCTGTAATTGACAAGTGATACTGATACCCAAGAACCCTACTGGGTTTTTACAACAAATATAGTTTGGACATTTTGGGGAAAACAGAGCTTCCTGGCCTGACATTTGTGAATATGAAGCTTTTACCAAATTTGCGTACTGTTGAATCCTGTGGTTCTAGAAATATACCTTTTGTAAATTGTTGTGTCCCATTGAGTCTGAACCAACTCATAGCTGACACTAGCAGATTATCAGAGGCAGTGAATCACACAGGAGATTGCCTATCCTCCCACGGAGCAGTTGGTGGATTTGACCACTTGCCTTTGAGGTTCTTAACACATTAGACTTCTATGTTATTCAATGAAAATTACAGTGATAGGCTTCAGATTGACTTATAAAATGTGCAAACTGGGTGAGGAGTCTATAGTTTTTCTCTTAGCTCAGTGTTTCAGTACATACGATCAAATAGTGCCCTCTTGTGGCGCTTAGATATGTTGATGAAGCTCAGCCATAGATATTTGGCCTTCTGAATGGTAGAATCTTGACCAGGTCCCCACTCAATATTTGTATGTTTTACTGATTCAGTTTTAGTAAATTCTTTATACTTTGAACAAATACATTTCCCTAAGTTCCTATTTAAGTGTTCCTTGCTGTAGACCTATTGTAACTATGTTTTTCAGAAACAACTTCTCAGTAGAAATTAATATATTAGCATTACACAGATAGAAAGGTCAGAATGGCAAAGTGTGGAGTGTTCTAACACTGAACCCACAGACCTGTCTGACTTGCATTTCTTGCTAAAGACTCCAAGTCCCTTAAAGTCTCCTGTACCTATGAAACTCCCTAGATTAAAATGCTCTTTGCTTAGTTCACACACCATTGAGACTTTTTTTAAATTCTTTTAGTCACTTTAGAAATATATCTTCACTTTAAATGTGTCGCATTATTAACACATTGCCGCAAATGATGGCAAATGTGTTTCTAAGCACGGTCGTCAGTTTAAAAACTGTGTGGCAACGTGTTAAGCCATCTCATTGTCTTGTCATTACTCCTTATCTGTGTCTTTCTACTTAATACAGACAAGTAGTTTGTATCTCTACTCAGAAAATAAAATGGAAAATGAATAAATGACTACTAGAACAGATGAGAGAGAGTTCAAAATGTTGCCTTTGTTTACAGGTTTTTCTTAAATAAAAATGCTTCGCTCATAAATTCAAATAGTTTTCCCTTTTCCTCCCCTTTTCAGTTCTAGGTCTCGTTCCAGATCATATTCTCCAGCACATAACAGAGAAAGAAATCACCCAAGAGTATATCAGAATCGTGATTTCCGTGGTCACAA